GGACTGCTCAGAGCATCCAGTTTGTGGGGCATATGCGGAGAAGAAGTGGTACAGTCGTTGTTCAATAGCGACAACAATCTTCATTAAACGGTCGTCGAAACGAACTACGCTCATAATCGAATCGCGAAATCGCTGAGACACGATCACGGCCACACCACTTGTAGTTTTCGGCCCGCCACAAAGAACGGCTTTGAAGCCGCGGCCTAACTCTTTCGACTTGCAGCCAGCCCATCTCGTCTCTTGCACGGCACAGAGGTCGATCTTTCTACGCTCTAGGGCTTCTGCTAACTCGTACGAGCGTCCAGTCAGCGTCCCCACATTCAGCGTCGCAATACGAGCCTTTGACACACTGCACGTCTTTTGGACTAGCCTGGTTGCCCCCCGATGCCGTCCTTGCATCGAGGACCCTCGCATATTTTTCACACTCGTCGGGCCTTGCGAGTGCGCGTCGGCTCCCGCGGACGCCGTAGCATTATCTCGAAATTCATAAGGCATAGTTAAACATGATGATGTGACATGGGGTGTTCGTAAGCCGGCCCGTCACGAAGGCCTGTCGCCTGCTTTCGTGTTCGTCCGCGTTCTGCTCAGCCCGCAAAAGCGAGCAGGTCCCGGTGGCACCACTTGGAGGAACGGACGTCACCACCATCCATAAGGATAGGTCTGCCTTATTCAAATGATTTTGATGGATTACATTGAAAAAAGGTACGCGCGGTATTGACGGTAGGGAGGAGTAGTGCCTCTTACAATTCTGAACTGGGCGATGTGGGCGAAATGGACGACGGGGGTCTACATACATCAAAAACACTATCTGCAAAGTTTCCCCTATAACCACACGAAATGTACATTACAGATGTCCTCCAGTATTTGGCGAATTTGAGTGTCCTATCGGTTTCACATGCAACGAGAACCAATGTTTGGCACGAGACGGCCGACAGTCTACAATGTGTGGATTTGAGGTTGTTGCTCATTTTGTTTGCTAATTTTCAGTGAACGACGTTAAGACCGTGATATTGTCGGAATTCTGCACAGTCTTGAATTTTGCTTTGATTGGTTCTGAATTATTCCGACTTCGTAGATTTCACGACCTCAACTGAAGACCCTATCTCATATTCGAGAAATTGAGTTCCTCTGGCAATGTTCACAATAAACTCTGTTTTGAATGTTATCACAAGAATGTTATGGGCAAAAGTCGTGCCCCAGGCGGGAGTCGAAACCGCACCTCACACTTCCCGTTTTGAATTGACACTGATTGGGAATTTCTTTCACCTTTCTTGCTTCAGTCAATGGATAGCCAGATTCGAGGTACTGCTTGGTAAAAATATCGTGTGTCTTTAACATCTCTACGTCCCAACTTGCACTGATTTCTCGCCCTATCCATGGCGCTGATCCTTCACGAAAGCAGAGCTGCCCCTACTTCAACAACTTCGAATAGTTTTTGAGTTAGACACCCATGAAATTTCCGAAGCTCGTCTCTTGATTATTGATATAAAATCTCGCAATGATCTGTTCGAAATGTAGACCAGGATTCACATCTATTAAGACATATGGGGAAGATGGGAGGGCGTGTGATACACACCCTTATGGGCGATTGCAATTGTGCTTGCCTAGCACAACGCACGAAACTCATATATAGAACGGACAAAATCAATAAAAACGCAGCCGCTGCCACATGTACGAAGTGTGCAGCCCTCATCATTTGCAGGGGTGGGCGTCGGTGTATGAGTAGCTTTTTCGCTTCATGTGGTTCCCCCATCGCGGCACTTCTAATTTGATATTTATGTGAGGCTATAGTTCTCTGCCTCAATCTCATTGCCAATCAATTCATCATTTTCGTGTAACTTTTGTACGAAAGTTGGCTTTATGTTATAAGCAAACATACCCTCCCTTTCTGAAACGGAGTAGGCGTGGCATTTGAACATGGCATAAAATGGGTTGCTCGCGGGATATTTCATTTTGGGACAACTGTCATCTTGTTCTGTGCTGGACAAAGACATGAGTACAACTGTCGCAAAATGAAAGTATGTATCTTTCAAAAAGCTCAGTCACCGCCACGTCCAAATACTCAAATGCGCAGCCATTCCTACCCCATCTCTGGGATTTCAAGTGTAGCTTCATTCATTACAATTTACAGACGGAATGCTCCGATGGAACCATCTGCGTCGAAGGAAAGTGCTATCCGCATTCGACTATAAAATGCAACAGGTACTGAGCTACTACTGTGAGTGCACATTCGTATGAAACCATGAGACCTTGAAGAAAGCTGTCTAACAGGCTGGAATGTTAAAGCTTCAAAGCCGCCTATATAGTCAAAGAATTTATCACAGGACGGGCAGGATGCTTTGTAGTAGGCCAACTGCTCACCTCCTTCGTTGGAAGTTCACTGTTGAAGACATTGGAAATAGATTGAGCGGAGGAAATGATTTGAAGCCATGGACTTAATAGTAATCGCTTGAACTTATTAGGTTGTCCGGAAAGTTCTCAGCGTTTTGTGTTACTATTTTTGTACATTCATTGCTGATTAAAAACTCATTCTCCCTTGCGTCTCAGTAGTACATCCTGAAGAGAATTTTTTGCGCTATCTGATGGTATAATTGCCGTTTCACCATTGCTTGATAAACCCCCTTTTCCCAAGACTTTTTGAAGCATGTCAAAAGAGCAACTTCGGACGATATTTTTCTTCGACTACAAATTGACCATGAGTTAACCACTGGTTCCCCGCGTCTATTCAGCACGGAAATCAGGCTTGTCTGGGTGTTGTTCTCCTTGGCCTTCTGCCTCCTCTGCTACGCTACTCATTATCAGTCCTCTGTTGTTTTTTTTGTTGAAGATTTTTGAAGATTTTCTCCATGGAAATGCATACCATGCGAGCGTGGTGGCGAGGTCCCGCCTAGCGATAATCATCACCATTTTATCCGGGCAACGATTTGAACAAATTATTTCTGTTGTTCCAGAGTAGTTTTTTGGCATATTCATGCTGTAAAAGCAAAATTCCGTGTTGAACAAAAAAGCCACAATAAACTCCATTATATCATTACCCATTGGAGCGTTACCCACCTATAGATTCTCACTAGCCCAGTTATCAGTGAGTCTTCTTGTTTAGCGTCTTAGGTTGTCATGCATATTGCAGGCACGTACTCACAGCAGATGGGCAGGCCCGCAGCATTGTTTCCGATTGTGGGAAGAAAGGGAAGTGCGTGAATGGCCAGTGTGTTTACGACAGTAAGTTCATTTCCTTTTCTTTCCAACTCAAAGGAACATTTCTGAGCAAGGAAGAGGGTCTTGCGTGTTTTTTTCAACGCACTGATTTGGAACCTCCTCTATCAGATTCGTTCTGGGCCTCAGTGTTCCTCTCAAAATTCAGCTCCTGTTGATAAACCTTTGATCGCTCCTACATAATGCATTGCATAGTTGCCACTTCACCTTTCCCTTACTGCACATTTTTGTCGTACATCTCTCAGCGTAGATCTGTGAAGACTGGGTGCCTTGCGGAATCCCCTCTTTCAATGGAAAAAAGCTTAATTTCAGGATGTATGGATGTTATGTGCCCGGAAGGTGAGATGTGTCGAGATGGAGAGTGCGTGAAGGTGAGATTTGCCCTCTCAAACAGTTTCTCTTCCTGCTTTGCTTGACTGACAGAATAGTTCAGGTCGCGGGAACATTCTGCTTAAGCCACATAGATTGCGGACCAGACATGGACTGCCATGCGAATCACTGTCGCATCAGGTGGGATTTCACCGTCACACACACGTCATCTTATAGAAAAGAGTTTTGATGTCAGTTGTTTATTCGACATATGCCACGCATTCGCCGTTAGAATCCATAGATACATTCAACGTGTTCTCATGTTCCGAGTGGGATAAGCTCAGCCACTCTAGTGGAAAATGTTACTCTCTTCATCCCTGAAATGGGATAGGCGTGGCATAGCATAGAACGGATTACTCGTGGGATACTGTTTGAAACAGATGTCATTTTGTTCTGTGTTGGGCAGCGACTAGACTACAACTGTGCCAAGATGGAAATATTTTACGAAAAGCACAACCACCTCCAGGTTAAGTTGGAGTACGCAAGCACGACTACCACATCTCGGGGGGAGGCGGTCGTATGGCGTGCTGGCAGCTGGAAAACACAGGTATCAATCTAGCGTCTGCCATCGTCTGCCAGCATCTACCTCCGACCAGCAGCGTCCGGGTGGTTTGGGGCGATAGGAGGCTAGCAGACAGCTGGTATCCTCCTATCGCGCCAACCCGTCTACCATCTGTCTGCTACCCTCCTAATGCCCCATACTCTCCTTTCCCGGACGCTGCTGGTCGCTGCTAGACGCTAGCAGATAGTTTGATATCAATACCCTCGTGCTGATGCTGCCTGTCGCTCGGAACGTCGGTGGACGCTATTCACTCGGACGCTATTGCTCGCTGGTATACGCTGCTGCAAAGTATGAACACAACCATGAAGTATTAGAAGACCCTCTCGGCAAGCATAACAGCTAACTAACATAAGTCCTTTTTACGAACACAGGATAATTTTGGATTTTTTCACAGGATTTTTTCCCTGTGTAAAATTCGATTTCAGGCCGACGCAACCGATCTGCAGTTGTCAGCCCCACGAAATATGTCACCATGGGCAGTGCTACCCGAACCCACGTAAGTGGTCGGCTATAAAATTCCATAAATCCATAAATTTTTGAGCAGCATTTTATAGAGTGCACTTCAATTCATTGCGGCAAGGGCATGTACTGCGTGGACGGCAAATGCGCTAACGGTTCAGTTCAAAGTTTATCTTTGGGAATACAAACAACAGAGCACGAACTGTTCTTATTTCAGCCATTGGCCTCGACTGTACCAACGATATCTGTCATGGTGGAACAGTCTGTGCAAACTCAGTCTGCGTGATGGATCCCTGTCCGGGAAGGTTTGTGAATCACACGTTTAGTTGAAGTGTCAGACTCAGCGCTTTATTCTGACTTCTGTTTCAACTCATTCGATGCTTCTATTAGAAGGTAATGGCACGATAATTTCATGTACACTTTGAAAAAGAGCAAAGGTGCCCGGCAATGCAAAAATAGTGAAAAGCAAGGCGACATGGTGGAGAATTCACGGGATGTGGGCTTTATTTCTTCGCTGCACTGCGGCAGTGGACGAGCGAACGACTGAGGCGGGCGCTGTATCGAACGAGTCTACCGATTGAACAGTTTACTCCGGGCAAAAAGCTAGCAGTACGTTCTACGTCGCTCCTTTTTACACTACATTACACGTACGCGGTCCTCAAAGGCACGTCCTCGTGCAGTGATGCTATAAGTCCAATGCGGACGACGTGGGCGTCCGGGTCGGTATTCTGCTGCTCGATAGGGCGCTAAAGGGTAAGCTTCCTTGGAGAAGGCGCTATGCAGCTCCTGTTCACGGTCCCCGAATTCTGCCATTCCAGTCGCATTGATCCTGCTCGTCGTAGTGATTTGTCGTGCCAACTGCCTTTAATAGCGCCTTCAGTTATCAATTCGAAGTTCTCTCTGTTGAGTGACGGAGGAATTAGCAGGAAATGGATGCTGTAGTTGCCAGGGTTCAAGTGCTGTTCAGGTGCAGAAAGTGTGCCGTTTTTAAGAAGTGCCGTTTTTTAGGAGCTATAGGTGTGCTTGACGCTGCGTCGCCGCACCTCTGGGGATGTGGCGCTGGTTGGCATGCACCCAGCTTTCACGAGCTTTAAGTTTCGGCTGAATCATCGAAAGTGGGAAACTTTTTCGAAAACGCAGCCGGGTAGGAAAAGACTGATGGGGAACCGAAAACTCACCAGTGTGCTGGGCGATGTCGCTGCGGTGGTGCGGTGAAGTAATGGACACTGACTCAAGCTCCCTTCATTGCGATTTGGTAGGTTGCCTCTTTATCAGCCTCTGTTCGCTTTCAGTTGGTAGTGCCGGAACACTGTGGTAGATACAACCGGTAGTCACAGTGGAATCAACACACCTCTTGCAAAATGTTCCTGCTATTTTTAAAGCATTTTTTCAGCTGTCTTGCATGTTCTATGGCTGCTAATCGGTAATCGTCTCCATTCTTGTCCTACCCCTGTGTACCATTCATCAGCAAAGAGTCAGAGGGTTCATTGTCCGAGACAGTGCAGTGATACAGCGTTGGCTTTTGTTTCCTTTTCTTACAAGGAAAGGATGGTTGGTCGAAGTGGCCATTTAAGACAAGATATATACTCACTGGTGCGTCTGAAGCTGACGCTCGGTGGCCTAGTGAGTAGTATGCCGGGCTCAAGTTTACGAGGTCAGAGGTTCGAGTCCTTGATGGACGTGCTCTTTTGCATTGTTTCAGTGCTCTCTGGAAGTTTTTAACACAGCCTAGCATGATCAGGGAACCTTGTCATGCCATGAATAGGGCTTTTCTTGGAAAACTGAACCATTCTCGCCTGTGAACACTTCTAATGATTTATTTTGCTCATATAGTGGGTACAAACAAGTTTTGTGATTCCAGAACAAATGTGATAATCCAGAACAAAGTGTTGGAAGCAAAAAAGTTTCTCGCAATGGGAACACCGGATAAAAAAATTTCCTTGCACTCTGCTGTGTTACAGGGTTCTATGACATTTGGAGGGAATGCATATTGAATAGGCGTTTCAAATTCAAAAGGGTTCGGGTCCTTCCTGTTGTGGTTTTGCATTTTCTCAAAAATGCTCCCTGCACATCCTAAAAGCACTTTTGCGGGGTTAGGAGACCTGATCTTACCGAAAATGTTGTTTCTGAAGGAATGGAGCCATTCTGGAACACTCCTGAAGGATACCCTTGATTGTTGGTTTCGGCGGCATTATTCGTTACGGTAACCAATAAGGACCGAGATTCAGCGGAAAAGTTGCATGGCTCACAGAGATTTTGATCGGCGATAGTGCCAGCGACCTTAAGGAATTCGTTGCCCATGGTTACCCCACTGTATCGAAAATAGGTCGAAATCTCAGATTTGGTTGAAAACTTGCCTCTAGGGCTAATTTGAGCCCCAGAACACGAATATCACACTTGCTCGGCGTAAAAACGCTCGCCAAGGGAGTTGCAGGTCCTGCACACCCTGCCCCTCCAGAATGTGAACAAGACATTTTTATGAAAAATACCTGCAGTGATGATTTCCAGAGCACCAGACCACCTCTAATTCCAGATTTTAGCAAATTTGGGGGTTTTGGTGTGCCTCACATACATGCTGGAAATGGGTGTGACCTGGTCAAAATTCCTGCATAACTTTGTCCAGGGAATCGTTCAGCAGAAATGGAGGGCAGATTTGTAATCAGCGTTCAAGGGCCCACCGGGCAGTACATCTCATTTCGAATGGCCACTTCGACCAACCATCCTTTCCTTGTTAGCGTTGTGCCCTATTGTGCGCCTAGTGGGAGTGACTGCCCACCAAGGCTACCTGCTCTCCTGAAGAATAAAACATGGCTACCTGTTCCCTGGATACTTGAGGCATATCGATGGTACTGGACTAGATTGTGTAGGTGCCCCGGAGCGCGGCTAAAATCTGGAGAGGCGACCAAGAATGGAGAATCAAACGACAGGGGAATCGAATAATCTTCATGAGACTGCTTACTGACTGAAGTACTGGTTCTCAAGCCTAAGCGAATCGAAAGGATCGTTTCATACAGACTCTAACCTAATCATACCATTTTGTCCGAATAATATCATCTAAGCCAGGATCACACTGCATGTAACACGTATGTTACTACTCCAATGCAAGACCAGTATGGCAAAACGAGGCTTTTTCCAAATGATGGCCCGATCTTCCTAAGGTTTCCGGGTTAGTCAGGTGCGACATTGCTGACTCACTCATACATCGAGTAACAAATTGAACATACCATGTAGGTGTAGTGTGGAACGTTCATGTTGCGGTGAGAGCAGTGTTGTGAGCGGCGTCACTTGCGCAGCATTCGTACCAAAACCTAATCGATTTAATTTTTCCAGTTTCTGCGCCTCACCGCCACGGATTTCCCGTACCACACTCAGACGGTGTGTCGCGGACCCTGGGCACCCTACTGCCGCGATCGACATCGGTGGTAACCGCGGCTCCCGCGTCCCATCGCTCTACCACACCCTTCCTGCGCACCCGCACAGGAAGGGTGGACCTAACCCCCGGGGACCATGGGGTTTTCTACGGCGGGCACCTTACCGACCCCCTACCGTCCACGGCGTCTCCACCGTACCGTGCCGCACGAGACCGCCGTCCTTCAAGTCTACCACGGCCTCCACCGTACCGCGCCGCACGAGGCCGTGGCCCTACCCCCGTATACCAACCACCATGGTACCACCATGGTAACAACCCACACATAGAAACACCCGTTGGTATAAACCATTATAATAACAAATAGAACATTAAATAATCTACATCATTTATTAACGAACTACTCACCGCACTACAATGATTGTTCTCCCCTGGCCGCCGTTCTCCGTGGGCTTCGTTCCATAGCTGAGCACGTAATAGGCCCCCGTGGCCGTTGCCCCTCTGGTACGCAATAGGCCTGTTAGGCTTCATCCCCTCATACGTATTATGCCCCCATCCTGCCGGCGGTAGCCCTCATCGCTCCATGCGGTCGTCGATGTCCTGATCGGGGCTGGAGTAGAGGCTGCTCCCAGTCGGGGAGCAGGGGATGGACATCGGCCGGCTCATGGCCGGCGCTCGGGCTGCCTCCGGCTTCGGAGTGGACTTCACCCCTCCGCCTTCGGCGCTGTCCTGGCGTTACCCGGTGAAAACCAACCGGCACCGGCTGCCAGCCACGGGACGTACTATACTGACTACAACCGCAGTCAGTATAGTGCGTCCCGTGGCTTGATTGTGATTATGATTGTGGCTAATTTTTGAACTATTTCACAATCGAGTACCGTACATATCGTCACACTCAGATGGCGCGTTGTAAGGAGGGATGGAACAAGCTTACCTGCAATTTGCTACAGCTAGTTGTGATAAAATCAATAAATTTGGATCGCATCGAGAGAAGATCTTTGATCAGTGGAATCATATTTTACAAGCGCTACATAGACGATGTCTTTCTCATCAGTTCTACCACCGATGCGATGAACACGATGCTTCAAAATCTGAACTCGTGTGATCCCAACATACGTTTTACGGTGGAACATCCTGATGAGCGCGGCTTCCTTCCGTTCCTCAATACGAAGGTACGGATCAACCATGGCATCAAGGAACTCGAATGGTATAGGAAACCGATGTCAAGGAATATCCTTCTGCATTCTCGAAGTGCACACCCGTTGTACATGAAGGCCAACGTGATAAGGAATCTTATCACAACGAAGACGAAAACCTGCACTAGAGAATCAGTAGAGGTGGACCGAAAAATAGCATGATTTTGGAAGAGAATGGTTATACGACGTGTCAACCAAGAACATGGAGACCTTTCTTCGCTGCTGGAGGGATACCATTGGTATTACCCTACGTCAACGAACGAATCGCGAAGAAAGTGAACCACGCCATTAAGTCGTCTCGTCTTCCAATCAAGTTAGTATTCCGACCACCTGCGAATCTAAGAAGCTTACTGACATCATCTCGGATTTATGAAGACAAATGTGGCCGAACAAACTGCACGTACTGCACAGAAACTAAAATCTGTCAGTTACGTGGAACAGTTTACCTGGTCACATGCGAAGGATGCGGTCAGAAGTACGTAGGCGAAACCATGCGACCGCTACATAAAAGGATGGATGAACACGTGCGAGCGTTACGCAATCCGTCTACTTACCCTAAGAGCGGATTCTCGCGACATCGTGTTCTGCAGCACCAGCAAGAAGCACCACCCACTCTGAAAGTAACTGTCATACACCGCACGAAGGAAGCCCCATTGGAAAGAAAATTGCTCGAAGCGCTCGCTATCAAGCGGCTATCCCCCGAGATCAACAACAGGGAGGAGCTCATGGAAGCAATGAGGCTAATAGGATAGCGGTAGTGATAAAGAAGTACTGACAAATGTCACGCGCGTCACATTTCTAGCGACTTTAGTTGCATTGGCAGTTGCGCTGGGGTAAGCTGGTCATCCGTTGTAGTTTGATTGTTTACAGTTGCACTCTTGACATTGTATTAGGAATTGTATTACAGACTCTAACCAAATTGCCGTTGACGGGCAGGTCAACCTGGTTTGTATTTCGAGCAACTTAGTTGTTAGGAATTGTAATACCATGTATACTTGATTTCATTTAAGGTCTGACGAAGCTGTTAAGACAGCGAAAGCTCACCAATAAAGGTGTTTTGTGAACGAGTTCTCATTATCAATTTTCCGAAGAAGAGCTAGTTGTTTTCATCAGAGATCAATCGCTAAACTTTCACTGGTAGAAAAAGTAGCTGGGTCGGGGTTACTGCACCCCTCTTGACACAGCTTTGACTGATTGCGTCGCTATGATCACGATATTGCCCTCCGTTCGCGACCCTGCAATATTGGTGAAAGAGGTGCACACACGAAAAGGTCATGCTACATTCATGCTTTGCGGCCAGCGTCCACTAGCGTTCTAAGCGTTGGGCAGCGTCAGCGACTAGGAAAGTATAGATATCGATCTAGCGTCTGCCAGCGTCTACCAGCGACCAGCAGCTTCTCGAGAACTGGGAAAGTATGGGTAATAACGTAGCTCTGCCAGCAGATACCAGGATCTACCAGCGTTCACCAGGCACCGACACTTGTGAGTATGGGGAAATAAGAGGGTAACAGACTGCTGGGTCTGACGTAGTGGAACTGCTGCGAGTGCAACGGCATCGTACGCTCTACACCGTGGACATAATTCTGTGCTTTAGCAGTTCTTCGGTGCAGTTGCACAAGACGCAATCTCAGGACGCCTGATTAGGCTATTTGCTACCCTCCTAGTTCTCTATACTCTCTACTCCCGCTCGCTGGTGAACGCTGGTAGCGCCGGTAGACGCTGGCAGACGTTAGATCGATACCTATAGTTTCCTAGCCCTCGAGATGCTGGTGGACGCTTTTAGACACTGGCAGACGCTGGAGCAATATCTATACTTCCTTGTCGCTGACGCTGCCCAACGCTCGGAACGCTAGTGGTCGGGTGGACGCTGTAGAAGCTAGTGGACGCTGCCGCAAAGTATGAACGTAGCCTTAGGATACGTTTTGCGGGAGAACCGGCATAAGCGCGAGCCGTCAACGATTCTTGCAGTCGATACGAATTTAGTTCTTTTCATAAGGGTGGCAGACAATGAACAATTTTATCAACTATGAGTAGTAGTGTTTCTAGATGTCCACCAGATCAGTCTTGTCGTCTGGGCGAGTGCCGCATCATTGAAGGAACTCCTTGTGTAACAGAATGCAGCGGACCGTTCGCATGCATCGATGGTCGATGTAGAAGAAACGGTAAACCTTTCCATTTATGAAGTGACAGGTTTTCTGAGCTAGAGCTCTGTTTTCCGCTTTCAGTGAATGGTCATATGGATAACTATTATTATTAGCAACAACTCACTGTGCTTTCAGACTGTGAAACACGTGTCTGCCAGATCGGCGAGACATGTGAGAGCGGACAGTGTACCCGAGTATCTGGCCGCTTCTGTACCTGGGCCCCACGAGACTGCGGTCAAGCATTCGCGTGCAAGGAAAATGTTTGCATCGACCTGCTCACTCCTGCTACCACAGCTCTACCACAGCAAGACAATCGGCTGCCAACTTTGTGATCTCTCACGCTACTTTTCACTGGTTTTCATTGTACCACGATTTGGACACATCATTATGCTATCATATTTATCAACAATAAACAAAATGCTCAGCATTGCCCGACCTTTCGCGGATTTATCATTCAGACGATTTTCTTCTTAGGATGGGAAACAATTGACTACGTTCTTCCGTACGTCAAATACGTGGCACACTTTACAATTCACTGCCCCAGTTTTCGGAGTTGGGTCAGAATCTTCATTTGACTAGAGATCGGAAAAAAAATCAGTAGTGTCCTTTCCATTTGCTTTGATTTTTGGGCGAAAATTATTCTGCGCGGGAGCCAGAATGAGTGAGTAGCGAAAAGCCGGAGGCTTACACATCATCGAAGCAAAACTCACATCGGAAATCAACTGAAATCCTACTACTGATGATTTTGGAGGGTTTTTGTTTATTGCTGGCGACAGTGTCTCATTCCCGATTTGGATAGTAGGACAATGAAAACGGTGAAGGCAAAGTAAAATGTGTGGGGAGTTGGTGCGCTCGTCCATTTTTCAATGAGTGCTAACTCAGTCCAGTGATGCAGAATAACATTAAGCTGAAAAAAGTCCTGTCAGTGTTTTTGGATAGCTTGGAGCTTCTGTTTCTTGATGCTTGAACATTACATAACATGCTATGCTTGTAGAAGGTTCTCGAAGCTTTTCCGCGAGAGCACTTAAAGACGCTGGCTCTTCCGTGGGTTAAATTACGATGTCACTTTCACAGGAACATCTTCGAATCATCATCTTCTATGAGTGGCGCCGCGGCACTGGAGCGACGGCAGCTGTCCGTAACATCAACAGTGCATTGGGGAGGACACCACGACCATCAGGACTGTCCACCGCTGGTTCGCTTGTTTCGCGAAAGGAGGAGACGCCCACACGAAGTAGAATACTCCGCAGTTCTCGAAATCAAAAGGGGTAAGAAGGCTATCATCAGCAGTCTTGCGACAAGACTCGGGTGTACCTAACTGACAGTCGTTAACCGCCTGTAAGCCTTTGGCTATCGAAAAGTACTAGTTTGATGGATCCCTTATGCACACGGTATACCCGATACCCATTTGCCAGTCTTCTCTTATCCGCCCGTCAAAACCTTGAAATTCCTTGGAGACCGGTTAGTGGGATGAAAGATGTTTTTTGTGATTCCAGTTCGCACTGTGGCGTGTTCCTGTCTCGAGGAGAAGACTCTTTTAGCAGGCCAAACCTGGCGTGCACTCCATGATGGTCCTCCTGTGCTACTTCTGAGACGCGACGGGATGGTGCACGGCGAGCGGCCTCTGTAAGAACATAGGTCGTCGCTAGCATTTATGCCACTCAGCTCCAGAAACCCGCAGAAACTGTTGCGAAACCATTGTGAAAAATGACTGGGACTAGTTTCATGAGAAGTAAGAAAGAATTCCCTACATACAAGGGGGTAAAGAACGACACTTTTTCCTCGACATTTAAGATGGAATAAGTCACACTTTATTGAAATTCTGATTGGACATTTCCACCATTATATTAAACAACACATTGCACACTATACTACGCCACAGCCCCCTCTGGACGGGCGCCATCGACAGATTCTGCAATGCAACCTTGATTCGGTGCCTGAGTGCCTACAGTGAGAGCGTTGATTTCTCTGCCAGTGTAGACCAGCCTGTTGAGCCCGTCCCGGATCCGTTAATCAGTGGAGTTCAGATCAGTTTACACACTTGGATATTCCGCCTTCTTCAGTTACTCAACGCCCTTCGATTTGGTGGAACCCAATCCTGTAGCAGTACGAAGTTTTCAAGACGGTACGAGCGACGACATGAAGGCAGGATATTCTCTTCGACTGGGTCGAGTAACCGTCAGAATTCACTCTCATGGTCAGTCTGAGGTCCACGAAGAGAATATCGGTCTTCCCATTTCAGAAACTTCCGGTCCATACGATCAACCCGCACCTTGGCGACTGCGGTGGAGATGATAGCCTAGGCAGTAGCGACGTTATCGGAGCTGCTCGATGTTGGAGACCTTCCAGATCAAGAGTGCTGGTCTCCAGGTAGCTATCCGCGGGTGACTTCACTCAAGAAGTTCCGCAGCTGTTCAGAGGAAACGTGAATTTCATAGGCGTTTTCCAATCAAGCTGCGATTGGAGATGGCTTCATATTTTGGTGTACATGAAGTTGATGGGCAAGAGCCAGCTCCTGCTTATCGAGGAACATCTTGGGTATCTTCTGCCCTGGTACTCGTATCCACGTCTTCTCTCTGGGCCGCGTAAACTTTACTGATATGTGACTCGGCCAAAGTTTTATTCGTTTCATTCCCCACCCCCTCCTATATCAATGGGTTTTTTTTCTCCGAACATGTAAAAAAAACCATTGAAAAACAAGAAAAACCGTTGTTGCTTGGAAAAGCAAGCTCGAAAAACTAATGCTGTTCACTGAGCGAAGCGTGCTCAAGGAAAAGCACTGGCACCCAGCAGCCAGCTAAAGTTTCTATCAACGCGCTTCGTCCAAGGAAAAGCAAGTTAGTTTTTCAGCTTACTTACAATAGAAGTACGAAAATCTGGAGACGATGGAATCACCGGATGGCCTCCAGAGCATTTCCCCTCTGACGAAGCTGTCAATATGTTAGAAGTATGGCAGAAAAGGTAGTGTTCGTAATGGACTGTTAAGGATGTGTATTAGTTGGATGGTGGATACAAGATTCTTCGCCTGTTTTGCTCAGTAGCTTCAGGGTGAGGGGGGGGGGACCATCGTCGAGGAATAGGATCGGTCTCATGTCCAGGGTCGGGCTCATGAGATGGTTTTTTTTCCGAACCGCCAATTTCTTCTCGACATCGCGCAACTGAATGTAATGCTTGACCGGTTTAATGCATAAACAAATGAAGTGTCAGACCCTTGACACGCTCACAGTTTTCATGGATAAGTCATAATTAAAAGTTCCCTGCTTCATAAATACAAACACTTGATTGATTATATTTATTTACACAAATCGAAAGGGTCTAGTTCCGTAAGAATATCAGCAATTAAAGTAGACTAAACTGATTAGGGAATACGATAGCAGAATAAAACTGCACTTAATCCTCGAATCACAAGCTGCACTATGTGCCCTTTCTAAGGGCGTCTCCTCTCCAAAGAAAGCGCCACCGCGAAACACAAATGAAACCGAGAGCTCGAGTTTTACACATCCATACTATATATTACTGTTACCCATAATCTATACGCGACCTCAGAAGAAGAAAAACGTGAAGGTGATGCGCCGGCCGTTAGACTAAAATTAGTGCACCGAAATAGAACGAAATAACATTACAGCAACTCAGGTAGAAACTAACTTAATATGAGGCGCATGCAATAATCCTAATAAGAACAGCCCCTTTCTGGGAGCTGCCACAATTTTATAAGGAAACACTGATATTTACATATAAAAAGAGCAGAAGTATAATGGTCGATCACACAAAGTTCCTTCGTCCGAGAGGTTCTACTAAAACTCTAAAAATGACCCCAATCGTACTGCATGTTTCGATGATCAATTTCGTATTGATTGACAACTTCTTCGGCGATACCCTGTTGAAGCCATAGCTGCCGCAATTTGTGGTAAAGTTCTTCATTGAGATGTAGGGGATTACCCCGCCTACAGAGAAATTCTGAGTATAGGAAGAAACGACAACGAAAAAGAGAAGAAGTAGATCACCTGAATCCCTGATCAGCTTCTCCAAACTCGTCGACATAAGGGGCTGGACGGAAGCAGCCGCGATTCCGTGTTGTCATAAGCACTATAGCGCAGTCCCGAATCCTTGAATCAAACAGATCTCTTTCAGCACTACAGGGAAAAAGAATTTTTGGCACTACTGAACTACTACTACCCTAATCTTTCAAAAACAGGTCAGTTTTCGAAAGATTGGGGTAGTAGTAGCTCAACAGTGCCAAAACAACATTTTTCAGCAACATTTTTTCTTTGGGAGCATTGACTCGGCTGAAAATTCTATTCTAGGTGGTGATTCGACCTCCTTGACAAGAATATCACATCCGCTTAGCCTGGAAGATGCCTGGAGCCAGGTGCCGGCTCCAAGATACACTAGATCACCTAACCAGCTGAAACTTGTATACAGGGGTTATACATCCCGATCACGAATATGGCATTCTTGACACTGGCGCTAATCGAAGGCACTACGATCATCCGCGCTTGCTGACAAGGGAAGGATACTAACTCGTCCTGGCCATTCAGAATGAGATGTATACTCCTAGAAGCGTCTTCGGACGCTGATATCAAATCTGGCTTCCAAATCTGCTAAACGATTCTGGGTGAGGAGTTACGGACCTTTTTTGCTACTGTGCTTAACCATTGCGGTGCGCCCCCCTGCTTATGCTTCGCGCTTGTAAACCCTTCGTGACCCAACCGCCATCGTGGCTCGGTGGCGCAGTAGGTAAGTGGATGGACTCACAGTCGTGCGATGGGGGTTCGAGTCCTTGATGCGTTTCGTAGTTTTGCTTTTTCTTGAAACGTGCGCTCAACACTTGGGAAGTAGTTTTGCATACCTGTACGACCACCAAGACCCCTCCCTGCTGCTTATTAGACCCTATGTCTGAATTTTGAGAGGGGTTTCATTTTGACTTCAGTGAAAGCATTCATTTTCATAGCGTTGGTATGGCAGCTTTATTTAACGCATATATTTTTGTAATTAATGCGACTTTTTCGCACTCGAACGGTAGAAGGCAATGGCTTCATTCACTTAAACCACACGCATACTTGATATGGACTTGTATAAAGTGAAGTCCATAAGTGGGCAATGGGTACAAGCGAACTACCTTCTCTATCGGGACCTTTACATCCCCAAAGTGACGTAGCTGTTCTTCTAGCTCCTAGGGAACTTTCTTCATCGCCATCACACGTGATCAGAGAGGATCCGTATTGTCGTCCTCTACGAGCTATCTTCCTCGCAGTCAATTGCAAGGTTGTCGTACAGTGTGTCGACAACCTCGTAATTGACATTGACACTCATTCGTACCCCAGAAAACTCAAAAAAACCTTTTTCGCTGAAACGTTGCCTATAGGTGTAATTCGATGCCCAGATCACGAATATCACATTCGTTTCGAGCGCTGGAGTCATTTGGCGCCATTCTGCGCCAAGTTGGCGCCCACCACTTTTTTCACCAAAGTCGATGAAAACTTGCATATGGGGGTTAATTGAGGTCCTGATTACGGATCCAGCATTCGCGCTAGGCGCTGGCGCGATTTGGCGCCATATTGGCGCATCATGGCGCCAAATCGCGCCAACGCTGGAAACCTGTGTGATATTCTTAATCAGGACCTCAATTAACCCCCATATGCAAGTTTTCATCAACTTTGGAGGAAAAAAGTGGTGGGCGCCAAATTGGTGCATAATGGCGCCAAATGACGCCAGCGCTCGAAACGAGGGTTAAAACCGTGATCAGGGCATAGAATTGCATCTGTAGACAACGTTTCAGCGAGAAAATTTTTTTGAGCTTTCTGGGGTAGGAGTAGTTCAACAGTGCCTAATATTACTTTAGTTATGGTAGGCACGGTCGCAGAGGTGTTGGCTGATATTGTGTGCGTGGGTGATTAGAGCTACCGAACATGTTGAAACTTTCGTTGCCCACACACGTCATTTTATAGGATGGTGAAATTTCGCAGATCACGTACTTCAGGCAGATATGCATGTGTATTTGGTCCCTTGCATGAACGAGTTAGGTAGAAGTGTAATTTTTCACGAAAATCGTTCGCGGGGCTCAATAAAGAGCAGGGAGTTGTCTTGGTGGTCGGACAGGTATGCAAAACTACTTCCCAAGTGTTGAGCGCACGTTTCAAGAAAAAGCAAAACTACGAAACGCATCAAGGACTCGAACCCCCATCGCACGACTGTGAGTCCATCCACTTACCTACTGCGCCACCGAGCCACGATGGCGGTTGGGTCACGAAGGGTTTACAAGCGCGAAGCATAAGCAGGGGGCGCACCGCAATGGTTAAGCACAGTAGCAAAAAAGGTCCGTAACTCCTCACCCAGAATCGTTTAGCAGATTTGGAAGCCAGATTTGATATCAGCGTCCGAAGACGCTTCTAGGAGTATACATCTCATTCTGAATGGCCAGGACGAGTTGGTATCCTTCCTTGTAAAGGCGCGGTACATCCCGATCACGAATATGGCATTCTTGACACTGGCGCTAATCGAAGGCACTACGATCATCCGCGCTCTGCTAAGGCGCGGTACATCCCGATCACGAATATGGCATTCTTGACACTGGCGCTAATCGAAGGCACTACGATCATCCGCGCTCTGCTAAGGCGCGGATGACCGTAGTGCCTTCGATTTGGCCTGGCCTAAAGGAAATGACCAGTCCCACCAATCACAGCCTTGATAGAGCGCTATATGGCCTTGGTGTCAAAAAATGAATGCCGAATTCGTGAACAGGGCATCAGACACGCCCTGGCTATTGGTAGTTTTCGCCGATTTCGATGAAAAAGGAGTGGCGCCAAATGGCGCCGGGGCTAAAAATTGCAATCAAGTTCGTGATCAGGCTACCGAATAACCACCGCTGCAAGTTTCGACCGGTTTTGGTGAGAGAAGTGGATGGCGCAAAGTTAGCGCCTAGCGGCGCCAAATAGCGCCAGCTTCGAAAAAGAATGTCATGCTCGTGGACATCAAACTACCCTTGTGGGCAATATTTCACCAGAAACGTTTTTTTTTAGTTTTCTGGTTCGTAATAGTTAAACACTGTCGAATTTATCATAAAGCTTATCCTTTGCCAAAGGTGAAACTAACCTCAAGAAAACTCCCATGGGTCCAGAGCATTGGAGCATGTGATATCGACACGCCCCTGTGCTTTCTTTACCAATCTGTGAAAAAAAATCAATCAAGAAGAGTTTTTGTTTTTGTTGCATTTCTAGCAGCGTGATATCTACTTAATCCAGCTCAAACTTGACAAACCTGCTTCTGACAACAGTAGCTTTGAGAGCACAAAATCTGTCCACAGACCAGACACATTGTTGGCACGTTGGCAGCATTTTCATCCAGTGGAATTGACGGACACCTTAACGCCACTATTGAGACAACGAAGAAGGTCGGCAAAAAGCTGAAATTACTTGAAGGCTGAAGCTAGATGGATGACTTCACTAAAGTCATAAGGAAGGTCTACAAGTTGTGTTGCTCGTATAGGTTGACGAACAATTGAATGTGGAAAAGCGGGCATAGCAGCAGACCACCTAAACGGATTTCTGTTGGCAATGCTGTGGAAGTGATTCTACTTCTGTAACTCACATATCAAACAACTGTTCTATGGCCAACCCGTCGAGAAGTTCACCAAGATGATAAGGAAGGCCCATGTATCGACATAGAGGCTCGAATTCATCGACGGATGGATCTTAACAATATTTCACATAGATTTCAAACAAAAAAAACCTGCAATAATGTTCGTACCTTTAAGAGCTTCTGGAGGGTTTACCAAAGTGAGAGCGTGATAGAAAAGAGCTAAGGGACGCAAAAGCGACAACGTTGCTTCGACGAGTGTCTGTAAGGGGTAAAGATTTTACCGACTTCGAAGTCTTCCCCTTCGAAGATGTTTTTACTGTGATGACTGCTGTTTGTGCTGCAGTTCGCACACCGAAAGTTATCACAAAGATACTAACTAGGGGGGGTTGCCAGGTGGAAGTGGCTATTTGTAATGAGACGCAGCTCATGGACGTGGTTTTGGACGCTGATCTCGAATCTGCTTTTGAAATTTGCAGAACGATTCTCTGAACGGAGTTATGGGGTTTTTGCTCCGCGTCTACCAAGCAACAGGTAATGAATGGGATCGGATCCCTGTTTGGCTTAATATTTTAATTTCTTGCAGGAACTAGGCAAAAGGGGGCTGAAGCGTCATCAATACATCTGTGCTCATCTGAGCTTGCCTGAAAAAAGTTTACGCGCAGTTATTACTGCTGTAGGGCGCATTGTGATCTAGAAGAAGTTTGGTGCATAGGAGCCCGTGACGCAAACTTTTTCGTGCTAAGCGAGTGTCATGTTCGTGTTTAGCGGGTCAAACTACGCCTACGTACAAAATTCTAGCCAAATCTGGCATTTTGACCTCACTTCGATAAGTGAAGCATCCACGGGGTACAGTTCATTCGTGTTCACACTATTCAGTACAGATACATTCTTCTGTACAAAGCCTCATGCCGTTTCTGACGCTTTCATTCTGTTACTGCTCAGCTTTCTGATATCCAAAAGCAAATTCCGTCCGAAAACAAACAACCGGTAAAAGACTGGCCCTAGAACCACTGGCGATCCAGTATTCCATCAATTGCTGCCTCCTTTTTCCGAAGTTAAGTTAGAACCATACATTTGGTTGGAAATCTGTCTCTAGAGGTAGTTTTGGTCCCTTTACGCGAACATGACACCCGTCTGGCGCGCAAACGCTTAAGGCGTGCGCTGCGGGCACCTGTACACAAATGATTTCTTGTAGGACGCAGGCGCCCAATCCTACAGTATTACCTAGGTCACCGATATTCGATTTGCGAAATGAAACATATCACGTGATTTCTAGGCTCAAGACAGGCTTTCCCTGACTTCATCTCACGCCTGTGATGCAAGACTCCTATCACCATTACATGATGCGCTCGCGGTTATTTTTGCAAACTGACAAGCAACCGAGCTTGATTCTGTTTTCCTTCATCAAGCAATGCCTCATAGTCCCATCAGACGAATCGTTTTGTAAATTTCGAACATCATAGATTTGGATCAACCTGTTCACAAAGACGTCTCCCGATCTATGTCTCATTACAAATGGCCACTTCGACCTCAAGCATCCTTAGTGAGTTATGTGCAAAGTCAGGCCCCATACGCGACTCGAACTCGCACGCTCAACGGCTTAACTGGGCGAGTAGGCAATCCAATACGCTTCTGCGACTTATGAATTTTGCCCTTAATCAGCATTCTTGTGATTTCAAAGTCACTAATTCGCAGAAAATTATTCGAAAGACTTACTGTGCGTAGGCGTGCAACATCGCTAAGAGGAGCGTCAGACGGTCTCACGATTGACCACAGCAGCTGTAGACGTGTCGTCAACACCTCATCAACCTTCTCATTGCTATCTGCGTCCGACATGTCACTGTCTTCGAATGTCGCAAAGACCTACAAAGAAAGCACTGCTCACTAACGTGGAGATAGCCAAGAAGGGAGCATTCAACAGACCTTAGCGCTTTAGCGCTATGTCCATTAAATGAGTAAACCCCTGCTGTTCAGCTTAACAGACATACGATTTCGGTGTGCGTTTGAAGTCCTTATTCAAAGATGGAAACTATTCTCGTACAATGTCCTAATGCAAGTGATATCACAATAAGAGTTCTACGCGCAACGTATGCCCCCCACACTGATCGTTACCTTTCAAACTCGATCCTGCAGCTGATATCCTATCGTCAGCAGGGCACCTAGGATTCTACATGAGCCAGAAAACCTAGGCGAAAATTTCATGCCAGCTTCGAAAAAAGGAATTTTTTTCACAGTGGAGATAGAAGGTGCAACCACCCCCCCCCCCGCCTCCGTACACGACTTAATTTGTAACAGGCAAGCCCTGAAGTAGCACGACGATAGTCACGAGGTACGCATGAGTGAACTAGCATGACCCGTGAGACATTGAGACTATTTAAAGCATATCCAAAATACCAGCACTTTAACAGATACTTGAAAGCACCTGGAAGAAGAGCCCATTAAGGCACAGACGCAGAACGTGTAGCTCATCTTGCGAGCCATCTGGTAGCATCTCACGAAGTTGACGAGTCGTTTTCAATGACTGCACACCATCATGCCACGTCCATCCGATTGACATCATCAAGGAAATCTGAGAGAATTTCATATTTGAAACGGAGGGACGTGAAAAGATCAGTAGCAAAGTTGAAAAAATAGAATATCATACTAACAGCGAGGCTTAGCATGTCAACATGGAGAAGGTTGACGTTGACATCCTTCTTACTTGAGAATAGCTGTGCAAAAGTGGATGACAGCAGCTTAGCCGGCGAATCTGCTGACGACGATAATGGGCTGAAAACGCAGGGACAGTCATACGCCCTCCATCAAACAAAAACGTGAGGATTACCTTGGAAACATATCCCAAACCAACTTTTCCTGTACTACCTTACGGCGCGTCGCACGCTGGAGAATCCCTAGGGGGAGTCGTATTTGGTCGCTGGAGGGAAATGGGTTGTATCTGGTCTCAAGAGAGTTTTTCCTTGCGCGAGGAAGTTCCTTCCCCAGTTTTCAGCTATTCGCGGTTTTTCCCGTTTCACAGATGCCATACCTATCCCCCTCTCACTAGGGTAACTTCTTTGTTTTTTTGGGGGGAGGGGGTAGGGGGAGGACAGAAACAGGAAAATTCTTGAACATCTGAGAAAAAAAGCGAGAGGAGGTCGGGAAACTTAAGGAGGATGACAGGTATAATGCGGAGGGGGGGGGGTGTCAAAGGAGAAAATTTCAAGGGGTCGTATTTTGCGGAAATTTTCCCAGCGACAGGATGTACCCTGACTGCTCTCTCG